GTATCGGGGTGGCAAGTAAATTGTATCCTGTATCCATTTATTCTGGGTTGCGTATAGGATTGATACACGTGTTATTATATTTTTGTCTCTTGTCATTGGTAGGTACCTTGTATTTGTCATTGTGTCTTTAGTCTAACGAAAAAAATGCTCAAAGCGTACCTATCTATTAATTAATTTCTGTAGAAATTTATTTTTGCAAAAAATATACAAAATTCATTCTTTATAAAAAATTTATCGGCGAAGTCCGGATTTTGTCCGGATTTCTTGACTCCTAGGTCCTGGATTCCGAAAAACCTTTATGGAAACCCTACCCAGATTTATAGTTTGTGAACAAATTGAGTTTGAAGTTTCTGACAAAATTTGGACTGAAAGGCAAATTGAGGATCATCTGCTCAAAAACTATCCAAGTTATCGAGCTCAATTTTGAACAGATTTATAGAGAATTTGAGGCTCTTTCCAATGATGTATAATTTATTTCAATTTGCTCAAAATTTACCAAAGATATGGGCAATTTTTCATGACCATGTCAGGATTTTGAATTAACATAAAAAAATCTTCATTCTGTGAACATTTCGGCTTGTAACTCCGACGCGCCCACAAAAGTCAAAATATATTAACTCTACTATATGGTATCTCTTACAGTTAACAGCAACTTTGTTATTGTAAATAGAAGAACCTGTGTTTGATATAATTTTTTGATACCATCTCTTTGTGAGTATTTTTTTTCAATACTGCTTTATACCTACCTACCTATCTATGACAGTTTCCAAAATTTAATTTATTTATTTGTTTTTTCATTAAGGATACTTCACTAAAAAAGTTTGATAAATCAATATGCTCGGAAAATTCTATTTAGAGGCCCAACCTGGAGTTGGGTACAAATTTTGTTAAAGTGATCCTTGTAAGTACCTACAACTTTAGAGAGACTATATAAAACTGACTTGTTTCCTGTGTATGTGTTCAGTCCTACGATAGAATTCTGGATTCTGAGATAAACGAATGGCTACTTCATTATCATCTTTAAATTCTGGAACTGATTCTAGTGAATCAATTTCTTCATAAAGACGCTTTATCCAAACTATTTCTTTTCATGCTGGTCTTTGACTCTTCCAGGAAATTGCAGTACCTGCATAATTGCAAACAACTCCTGATATTCACCGACCAGTTGTTCCATCCACACCATAGTCTGAGTCGCTAAATATTTCCAATTTTTCCCAGATCAAACTTGTAGGACTATACCTCGTCTAGTGGGCATTTCGACGTAATCTTTTGACTATTGTACAATCAATATAATTCGGATTTTTCAATTTTCTGGACGCAACACTTACGGTATATGCTATGTCTGGTCTGGTACAAGTCATCAAAATGTATTGAAGCTCCAACATCTCCTCCATGTATGAATATGGGGAAAAAAGTGTTCGTTTTTTCTTCGCCATTTTCCCTTGCTAATTGAAGACATTCTTTCCTCACTAACATACCAAAACGTTCTAATAGTTTCTGTCTGGGTGTATGAAAATTAGATTTATTTATTAATTTTCTGTCTTCTTGATTTGTAATCCAAGAGAAGACGAGGCAGGTTTTGTAGTAATCTCAAATTCCTTTTTCAAAGGAGTTTTTCATGTTTTCACTTGCGCGTGCCAATAAACAAACCATCATCCACCTAGAGTGCTAATAAAAGCATATATTGTCCTTTTTTAACAAATAATAATGGGTCATAGCATTACTTCGTTTGAAGCCAGGATTTCAATGTAGTCTGTAAAATGTTTCATCCAACATTTTACAGCTTCCTTCAATCCATATACAAACTAAGTTGCAGAAAACATAATAAACCACTCCCATCTTCGTAGCCAACTGGGTACTCCATAAACACCTCTTCATCATGTAGGTATTGCTTTTATCCAGTTTTTTCGGCCTTAACAAGTGGTAATTCATATCTTAACTGTCGTCCGAATTCGGTGTTTTCTTCATCAAATTCGAATCTACCGAATTTGAGTACAAAGTTGTGTTCTGTATCGTCATTCAAGTTTTTCTCAAATGATTCTCGATCTACTTGCAATTGCACTTCTTGTGACATCCCAACATTTTCATTATTCAATCAATCTTCCATCGTATTTTAATTTTTGCCTCTCATCAAACTAATTTTTCACTGGCGGTTTCCAACGGCGAAAATTCATTAGATATTACATGATCTAATCAGCCTATTCTGCTGTAACCATCTGTGACCAACTAGAACTCCTTTTAAAGCTTTCCCTCATTTTCTTTCCTCTCCGTTTCGGAATATGAGCATTACAAGAGCCACCGCTATTATTCTCAGTTGGCTTATTTTTGGTTTTTGATCAAACCAAACTTCGTGTTTCACCTTCTATGCTTGATTTTTCTGTACGATTTAGGATATACCAACTGTACTGTGTTAATCACTTCAGAGTAAAAACTCTGGTCAAATATCCCTTCTCTAGGATGCATAAGAGCTTTTGCAGCCTCAACAACCGTTTGGTTTTCCTTTCCCATTCGGTTGGGGAATTTAGGGCATAACTAATTTCTGTCGTATTACTGTAGGTCTAAGATTCTCTTTGACTTGTTGGTTATAAAATTCTCCTCCATTGTCATACAGGCAGGATTTCTCGCACTACATGAGCTGCGGTTCTTATCTGAACTGAAACGTGCTTTAATTTATCTTAGCTTTCAGACATCATCTTCGAATGCTACAAAATAACGATAGCTGCATTGGAACTGTCAAAAGATCCACTATTCTGGTGCATTCAGGTGCATCACCTCTCTCTTTTGTACTAAATTATAGAATATGAGAATTTTCATAGACGCAGCTTTCGCAAACTTCCCTATCAAGTTCCACATTTATATCTTACTCATTTTTCAATATCATTTCGACATGTTTCCAGCCATTAGGAAACACATAATCGACGACAATAAGAATGGAATAGAAGATAATCATACTCAGTATCGAGTGATCGCCTATGATGATGATGATATGTTTTTTTTTTAAATTTTGGTGACAAAATCTCTCATATAGTTGTAACATATGTATACTCTTTGCTTGCTAGATTTATTTGACATAACTTTTGTGGGTTCAAACTTCTCATGATTAACTTGTATAATTCTCCAGATTGACTCCCCTTTCCGATTAACACTCCTTTTCCGTCGATCTTTAACGAGGATCTTTCTGCTGTCGAAACCATTTAAATTTCCATCTTGGGCTGACAACGTTAAAAATAAGTTATTCCTAATTTCTGGTACATTCCACACATAAAAATATATTCTCTTCCATTAACTTCCGTTTCTACTTTGATGGTACCTTGACCAAGAGCTGGAACTGATCATTGGCTATTATAGTGACTCTTTGATCATCTTAAAATTGTACATAGGTGTCAAACCATTCACTATGGCTGGTAATATGGTTTGTAGCGCCATTGACAATATTCCTGAGTATTTTCCTCCCTTTCACAATAGAGAACCTCATTGGACATATTCATTAAACTCATCTTCCCGCTAACGATTATAACTGAAGAACTCAGAGCACAAACTAAATGTTTTGTCTTCCACTTGACCATCAAACTTTCTATGTGACTCGGACCAGACACCCCTAGCGGTTGAAAAACGTATCACTAAACCTCCGGATCTTAGACATCCTGAGATTCGCAATAACTTTCATCCCTTGTTCGCTTAGTTCTTCATATAGATTTCTAGAACTTGTTGTTTTAGCTCCTACACTTCTTTGAGGTAATTTACTTGCTCCACAATCTTCTCTTCAATTCCTGATTTTCATCTTGTCGGCTGTTAAGATAATAAACAATTGGTTTTGTCTGCGGTAATGACTTTGTTTGATTATTTTGCTGGTAATAAATAAAGAACATAATAGTGAATATAATATATTGATTGACGGTACTGTCTCCAACGAAACCAAAATGAACAAATTACCCAATACATAATAGCTATTAGGGTTACATCAAGATAATGTAGCGCTCTATTGAACGAGTTTTTTTATGGCCGAGCGAGCTTGTATTTAAAGGGATAAGACCCACTGAGCTCATTCTCTGTACGCTTATCATTCAATATTTTATGTCTGATACCTACTTTAGCTAAATTTTTGGAATCCATCGTCAGAAACAAAAAATTATTTCCAGAAATTTGAAATTTTGCGTACTTTCAACTTTTCTCAAATGGAATGCCTTTTATTTGATTCTATATTATTGAAGAGCACAATTTTCGGATTCCAAAAATATATATAGTTTCCCTTTAGGTATTTGGTTAAGCAGTCTCCCACATATTTGGCTCTAAAAATTGTAGAAATACTATCCTACTGCCTTAGATTTTGTAAACCATTCTACCTGTCAAGGTGACAGATGCAGGAAAAATTTGAGGCACTTGGTTTCTCTGATAGTATTTTTAAAATTTTTAGAGCCAAATATATTGGAGACGGCTCAACCAAATATAGACAAATTATATATTTTTAAAATCGGAAAATGGCGCTCTTCGAGTATATAAAATCAAATACTTATAGGGCATTTTATTTGGGAAAAATTGAAAATAGGTAAAATTTCAAAATTTGAAAATAAATTTGTGTTTCTGACGATGGATTCTAAAAATGTAGCTAAAACTGCACAACTTTTGTATTTACACCTATCATCTAGCTGTAAAAGTAAAGGCTGCAGGTGAGGTGCGAAAATATAAGGGAAAAAACTGCACATATACAGCTGTTGTTATTTTCAACTAACATGTTGAAATTGAAATTAAACCACTAGAAACCTGGCACGTCATGACGCCATTTTCATTATTGACCTAGGTTTTCATTCATTATTATAATTATTCACCTAGGGAGAGAAATTCAATTTTTTCCTAGAAATATCGATTAAATAATGACTATTTCTCAGGTTAGTAGTAAAAAAACTACATTAATTTGCATTGATGCATGCATGTTAAAATTATTTAAGATAAACCACAGACTTGCGTCATTTGTTTTCTGATGTGGAATTCCCAACAAATCCCACGCTTCTAATAACGACGATGCTGTCAAAGAAACGATGTTTCACGAACTTGATCTTGTGGTTTCTCATTCACGGTTAACTTGAAGAGTAAGGAAAGAGGAAAGCATATTTAGTTTGTGTTTGTTCATTGTTAGGTACTATTGGTTAGCAAGAGGCAGCAAATATGTTTTTACGTGTGGTTTTTGGAATCAGCTTTCTGTTTGTTTTAACTGTTGGTCAAATTGAAGAAACTGGTGAGTAGGAGTGAAGATCTCTTGTTATGTTTGTGAACTTAAGATTGCAGAAAACGCTTTGCCATTAAATCTTTTTAACTTGCGACATACTTATAAACTTTTTGAACCAAGCAGAATACCTAATTATTCAATTTTTTTTAACAAAACTGAACTTATATTTCAAAGCAATTAAGTGGTATTCACATACTTGTAATCATAATTGATGATAAGAAAGTTATTATTAGTAGTAATTTCGGATTATTGTCATTTGAATAAAATGGCTATTTACCTAACAAGTGCGGAAAAATATTTTCCGCAAGTGTTAGGTACAATATTTTTCCTACAGGCAAAAAAATTTAAAATTTTTCTTTTTTTTTTGACATATCAGTGCGTTAAAATTTTTTCCTACGAGCGTGCGCAAAGTAGTACTTTTCCGCACGCATTTCGGTTCTCAAAGTTACACTTTTCCGCACTCAGTGCGGATACAGGCCTTATCCGCACTGAGTGCCGAAAAGTAAAAATAATTGTCAAGCAACAATAAGGGCACCTGTCGACGTTGACAAATGATGACAAATTTTTCCTCTGTTTCTATATCAGCCAACATCTATACAAACACCAAATTTAATTAACTTTGACACATTGTCAGATTTGTTCTCTATTGATATGCAAGAATCTACAAACTTTCTCATCAAATTTAAACGTTTTAAAAAAAGGGCTCTGACGATGATTTTCTGTTATTTTTTTTTTGTTATTAATTTTTTGATAACTGCATAGGTTCGCTTCAAGTTAATTAAAAATAGTTGAACAAATAATTTTTTTTTCTAAATTTTTGTTGTTACCTACCTGATATGAAGCTCGTAGGAAAAATTTAGTTCCTAACACGTGCGCAAAGTGTCTTTTCCGCACGCAAACACTTATCCAAACTCCGCTTCGCGTCGTTCGTATAACTGTGTTTGCGTGCGGAAAAGTAACACTTTGCGCACTTGTTAGGAAAATAACTATTTCCGCACTGACAGCCGTGCGGAAAAACTTTTTCCGCACTGTATGTAAAAAAAAACAGTTTTACCGCACCGTGCGGGAAAACTCATTTTCCGCGCGCATATCAGTGCGGAAAATCGATTTTTCCGCACGGCTGTAGGAAAAAAATATTTCGATTAATTTGATTTCATTGCAAGAAATTATAGCAGAATAAAGCTTCAATATTTTACTAGTACAATAAATCAATTCATTATTGGTGAGCCCATTAAAAATTTTTTTGGATAAATTTGGGCTTAGTTAAGCTGGCCCCCCCCAGTTGAATTTTTTTGCTCAAAAAGCTAGCGCAGATAGAGGATATCTAGCGCAGGCTAGCGCACCACTTTTAAAAGCTAGCGCACCAGCCCCCGCGGAAATAGCAGGGGATGCGATCGGGGGGGGGCCAGATTAACGCTAGCCCCCCCCCAGTTAATATTTTTGTCTCAAAATGCTAGCGCAGAATAAGGACACCTAGCGCAGGCTAGCGCACAACTTTTAAGAGCTAGCGCACCAACCCCTGTGCTCATAGCAGGGGATGAGATCGGGGGGGGGGGGGGGGGGCAGATTAACGCTAGCCCCCCCCAGTTAATTTTTTTTGCTCAAAATGCTAGCGCAGAATAAGGACACCTAGCGCAGGCTAGCGCACCACTTTTAAAAGCTAGCGCACCAACCCCCGCGAAAATAGCAAGGGATGCGATCGGGAGGGATAAATTAAAAAAAAAAAAACAACGTGTAATCATACTCGAGAACTAAAAAGCGGATCATTTTAGAAATTTGGCAACCTGGATAAACGACCATGATCCACACTTTAAAATTATTTTTGACCATGCTGTGTTGCCGCTTCTACTCTTAGCCGGTGGCAACATCGTTATTTTCAATGAAAGACCCTGTATCTTTTTAAATTTTCGAATTCGGTATATAATTATGAGCAACTTTTTTTATTACCTTCCTATACCTATCTGTCGCCGTTTTTCGGGAATAAATTAATTTCAATTTTTAATTAATTATTATGTCCCTCCTATAAAACAATTTTGAGCTGTAATTTGGGTTATCCCTGTAGGCATTTGATCTTTCGCTCACATCTTAGTTCAAGTATACCTACAGGATGATCCCGAAATTAATTTTTGTCGGTAACTCATAAAAATGCCAGTTTTTTTTTTAATGGAACACCCTGTATAATAATACGGATTTAAAATGTTGATAAAACTAGCTTTCAGACTATGTATACTTTGCCCATACCTAATTCTTCATTTTTTTTTTTGGATTTATTAGCGTTTATTCATTAGCATTGTTCTGGCATAATCCAAATTTCAGCCCATATATAGGAGGGAGATATTAAGATTTAGTCCTGTTTTCGTTAAAAAAAAATGAAATTAATTACATATTCCTGAAAAGCGGCGACAGATAGGTATAGGAAAGTATTAAGAAAAGTTGTTCTGTTGCTCATACAGGGTGACACAAGGAATAGGGAACAGCCTATAACTTTTTTAATATATAAGTTGAAAATTTGAAATTTGGGGAGCTTAAACGAGGCAACTTCTTGAGTTTTTTAGAAGTAAATTGCGTTACAAGTCACTTCCGGTATAACCGGAAGTGGCCATTATTTTTGATTTTCAAATAGGACACCCGGTATTTTTTAAGTTTTCTGGCATCAGCAGATCATTTTAAGTATGGTAGGACCATTTTTGGCAAATTTTTAACAAAAAAAAAAAAAAATTGAATTAATCCTTAGAAAAAAAAATTCGGCGCTGCCACTGGTGTAAATTGATTTAGTTAGATATTCTTAATATCAGGAAAGTCTGTACCTTCAATTTTTTGCTAACTGAACGTCATAATTTCAGATCAAGATTAAACAAAGAGGTGTTTTCAAGGTATTCCATATTTTTCAAATGTAACCACGCTGGGACATTGTTTTCCCTATTTTTCGATATCAACATTTTTAAAATCCGCTGAAAAAAAAACTCAACAACTTTTGAAAAATCAAAGCAATTTTTTTTTTTTGGTTTTGTTATAAATCTTTCAAAAATGTTCCTATCATACGTAGAATGATCTGCTGATACCAGAAAACTCAAAAAATACCGGATACCCATTTGAAAATTGAAAGTTATAGCTACTTGCGGTTTAACGGGAAGTGACTGGTAACGCAATTTACTTCTAAAAAACCCAAAAAGTTGCCTCGTTTAAGCTCCCCAAATTTCAAATTTTCAACTTATATATTAAAAAAGTTATAGGCTGTTCCCTATTCATTGTGTCACCCTGTATGTGCCGAATTCAAAAATTTAAAAATATACAAGGTGTTCCATTTAAAATAGTTGCTACTGGTTTAGAGTAGAAGCGGCAACACCACATGGTCAAAAATATTTTCAAGGGTAGATCCATCATAGTCGTTCATCCCGGTTTCCAAATTTTCACAATGATCCGCTATTTAGTTCTTAATAAACTAGGGCTGTAAAAGTAACGAAAATTTTAATTAATACTCGTACGTATTCGTTACTTTTGATATTAATATTCGTTACTAAATATTCGTTACTCGTTACTTCCGTTACTCTAGTATTCAGAGGATAGGAAAGATACCTACCTATGCGAAAAAGTAGAAAAGTGACTCATTCGCCATTCGTATTTGTTCCGATTATCGAATAAGTATTGTCGGGATTCGTATTTTCAATATTTGACAATAATAAATATACCCAAACTGTCTAAAAATATTTAAAAATTTGTAGAATTACCTATATGAAAAATCTTTGGTAAATGTTCAAAAAAACAAAACATTTCGTAGAGATGCGACTGATGCAAGTCACGGAAGACGGCCGACAGTAACGAATCCGTATTTCAAATCCGAGATAATACTCGTTACTCGGTAACGAATACATACGGTTTGTCACAGCCCTACAATAAACGTCTAATACGCCATCCACCGTGGGACACCCATACATAGGCCGAGTTCGTTTTTGTCATCTTTTCCGTCGATTTGCTCCGAAATTTTGACAGGCACGTGACTGGATAAGACAGTTTCAAGTTACAAATCACGTGCATGTCAAAATTTCGGAGGAAATCGACGAAAAATATGACAAAAACGAACTCGGCCATAGGGTACATTCAGGCGATACCAGCGGCTAAGTTCAGCCACTCAGCAGGAACATTATTCTCGAAACAGGGAAGCAGCGTTCTCATGAGAACAAAGGTTCTGACTTCGTCATATGTATTCATGTTTCCATATTTAATACCTTTTTAGAAGTACCGGTTGTTCTAGTGACTAAACGTATGTCGCTTCTTGAACATTAGGAATTTCCTATTTGTACATGAAATTGACGTATTAGCAATCGACGTTCGTTTTTGTTGGTAAATATGTATAACACTGACAGCGACAGAGCAATCGTTCTCATGAGAACGCTGTTCCTCGGTTTCGAGAATAAAGTCCCTGCTGAGTGGCTGAGCTTAGCCGCTGGCACCGCCTGATTAGTCGTGTTCTTTCTACTCAGAATCTCACTTATTCTCATTTTACTTCACTTACTCACTTATTTACATATGATTTACTCGAATAACCTCACCACTTCATCCCAAAATGAGATGAGACGAGCCGTAGAAAGAACACGCCTAATGTACCCATATATTATACGATATATCGATACGTCCGCGATGATGGAGCACATCGATACAAATTTGTCATATCCATATGACAAATATATAATTTGTATGTCAGAATTTCATTTGCCATTTCATTATTGTCAATAGTTTCAATATTAGGTGGGTTCGGCTTGCTCACTCCGTGCCCTCCGAGTGACTCCATTCGCACTCCAGCCGATCGGGTATTGCTTTTTGGCGTATTAGGGGTGACTCCATTAGCGTTCGACTATACGAAGTGAAGTACATGGAGTTCACTCAAAAAGTTCCACCTCGGAGAGAGAATTTTTTAAAGTAAGCATGCGCCGAAGTGAAATGTGGAAACTGTCAAGCTTGTTGTGTTGTCACGGTGTGGTTGTGGGGGGGCTAGCGTTAATCTGCCTCCCCTCCCCTAACGATCGCAACCCCTGCTATTTTCGCGGGGGTTGGTGCGCTAGCTTTTAAAAGTGGTGCGCTAGCCTGCGCTAGGTGTCCTTATTCTGCGCTAGCATTTCGAGCAAGAAAAATTAACTGGGGGGGCTAGCGTTAATCTGCCCCCCCCCCCCCCCCCCCCCCGATCTCATTTCCTGCTATGACCACAGGGGTTGGTGCGCTAGCTCTTAAAAGTTGTGCGCTAGCCTGCGCTAGGTGTCCTTATTCTGCGCTAGCATTTTGAGACAAAAATGTTAACTGGGGGGGGCTAGCGTTAATCTGGCCCCCCCCCGATCGCATCCTCTGCTATTTCCGCGGGGGTTGGTGCGCTAGCTTTTAAAAGTGGTGCGCTAGCCTGCGCTAGATATCCTCTATCTGCGCTAGCTTTTTGAGCAAAAAAATTCAACTGGGGGGGGCCAGCTTAACTGAGCCATAAATTTGAGTGTTTTATTCAATATATTTCCTAATTCTGCAACGAATGTATTGGTTGAGTCCCTTGGAATGGAAAAAATCTTGTCATTCTTAAATATTCCAAGAACCAGTTCCATTAGTACCAAACATAAATCCTTCAGGTTTGGTCAGAAAAACCTGGACTTTTTTCCTAAATCAGTGCAAGTCAGGCAAACCTAACCTATTTCTATAGGAAGAACCTACTAATTGCACAGAAAAATGTGTTGCTGACAATTGGGCTTCTTCAGCAGTGTTAAGTTTCGATAGGAATCCCCATTAATAAAATTATGTATGTGTCTTGAAAGTTTTCAAGAGTAATTTACACTCCAAAATATTAAAAAACGAATGGGTAATGATCGAGAGATTTTTGAAAATTTATACATTACTGTCACGGATTCCGCGTATCCATTAAAACTCTACTAAAAATAACAACTTTTATTGAACTAATTGAACTTGCAAAATCACTTATTGCTTCTATGTAAATCACACCATGAAATTCGTGAATATTCGCGCTAGAGTCGTAATGCACCACTTTCTCTTCTACGTCTATGCCTCTACTGATAATGATTCCATCTATTATACATGTATCTATTATGTATATCTCGTTATCCTAGTTAATAGCAGTACTATGTCTTTCTGGGTACTTAGAAACATGTCTTTATAGACAGAGGTCTATGTGTTTTGTCTAACTCGTAATCATCTTCATCATCCCATCTATCCACATCTTCATGCCTGTCAAATGAATCCCTCATTGGATAGCTTCCTATCGATCCAGGTCACGCTTGCGTGGGTCTTATTTTCATGACCTGACGTCACGGAAACTAGAAGAATGGTTACCTGTTCCTTGTGGACTACCATGCTGCCAGCAGCCTAACCTTGTCTGCGCTTGCGCGGAAAAACGTATTACCTCATCTTAGGAATCTGAAAAGCACCTGTTTGAAGGATAATATTGTCCTTCTGGATCAGCAATCGAATCCCACCTTAATTCCGTTTGTTATTTCTTCACTCGAAGGATTTTTCATCTCTCCACTTCTGAACACTATCCGTTTTTTGAAAAAAGGCTCCAGCTTCCTGACAAACACTCCCAACTTCTTCACGTACTTTTTCCATTGCTTCTTGCCCCTTCAGGATTTTCTCAGGTCTGGTTTGTTACTCAGAGATCACGGTTTGCATCAAATCTCGTTGAAATTTACAATTTTGTAGAAGCCGGGCCTGATCCTCTGGTTTTTCTTGTCGTAGTAAAAGTGCTGCAAGCGGGTCCTGTTTTTCTTGTGATCGGTCTTCTTCTTCTTCTTGCATTTCTTTGTGTGTTTGGGCTTCCTCTGCTTGTCTTTTTTTCTGTCTTTGGTATCCCTTTTCTTGCTTTTCTTTCTGTCTTCGAGCTTCTCCTTCTTGTCTCTTGTCTCTCGTCAATTATTTCACTAATCTCAAATTAATACATCAAATGGTCTCGCCAATTATCCTACTTCTGATACCAAATTGTCACGGATTTCGCGGGTCCACAAAAACTCTTTTTATATACTTACCTTAACAAATCTTATTGTCTATTTGACTATTGATTACACAAAATTCAATCATGATTCACTCAACTTCATCACTTTAGGCCAGTTAATGAGGCTTCGGAATTAACAATAATTACAAACAATGTGAAATTTAGGATTTACGTTTTGTATGACAGAAAAATTAACTATAAAAATTTGCACCTACCAGTGACGTGCGGAACATTGTTTTTTTTTCTAAAAATTAAACAAATATTAATTACTTCTTCCCAAAAATTGCTAACAAAGTGCAAATTTACGAAAACGCGACGACTGATGTTCCAAATCTTGTCTTAATTTTGCACCTTTTTTCATTAGGCGGAACACAATGAAATATTATTTATTGTTAAAAAGTATTATATAGTTTTCGGAAAAAAATGCTAACAAGGTGCAAATTAGGATGATGCACCGTAAATGCCAAACAAATAATTGTATAAATTTGCACCTTTCAATCTCCTTCGGAAATGAACGATTTGCATTATCATATATGAAAAAACACAATTATTTGGAGGAAAAATTGCTAACAATTCAAAAATTAGGTGCAAATGTTCAAATTGATTGCCATAATGTTATGCAACATTTGCACCCAAAAATATTAAGCGGAAACCTTTTTTTTCTAATTTTTGTTTTTTACAATAATTATTGACATCGAGAAAATTACAAACAAGGTGCAAATTACAAAAGCAATTCCAAATAATATTTCAACCCTTACTTCGAGTTTGCACCCCTATATGAAGCACGGAATAAGAAATATCTCCAAAACATCACTCAAATAATATTTACGCTGTGCCGCGCCACAGATTATTTTTAATATTTTGAACCCATTCCGTGCTTCATATAGGGGTGCAAACTCAAAGTAAGGGTTGAAATAATATTTAGAATTGCTGTTGTGATTTGCACCCTGTTTGTAATTTTCTCGATGTCAATAATAATTATTGTAAAAAACAAAAATCAGAAAAAAAAGGTCTCCGCTTAATATTTTTGGGTGCAAATGTTGCATAACATTCTGGCAATCAATTTGAACATTTGCACCTAGTTTTTGAATTGTTAGCAATTTTCCCTCCAAATAATGGTATTTTTTCACATATGATAATGCAAATCGCTTATTTCCGGAGGAGATTGAAATGTGCAAATGTATACAATTATTTGTTTGGCATGTACGGTGCATCATCCTAATTTGCACCTTGTTAGCATTTTTCCGAAAATTATATAATACTTTTTAACAATAAATAATTTTTCATTGTGTTCCGCGTAATGAAAAAAGGTGCAAAATTAATACAAGATTTGGAAGATCAGTCGTCGCGTTTTTGTAAATTTGCACTTTGTTAGCAATTGTTGAGAAGAAGTAATTAATAATTGTTTAGTTTTTATAAAAAAACAATTTTCCGCACGTCACTGGAAGCTGCAAATTTTTATAGTTCATTTTTTTGTCATGCAAAACGTAAATCCTGAATTTCACATTGTTTGCAATTATTGTTAATTCCGAAGCCTCATTGACTGGCCTACTTATCGCTGTTACAAACTTACAAAGTACCTACGCGATTTATACCTCATAAACAAAACCATTCAATCGAGAAATGTCCGAAATCCATGTACATTTTTGGTTATTTTTGGAAACAAATTCTTAAATATTCTCGTTCGGGTCCCAACAGCAGCTGAAGATTTCCTAAAATTTGTAAATTTATTTCATTAGACCTGGCAGTTTACCTAGGAGGCTCAGATAGACAAAACTGTTCTTTTTGGGTCTTTTTTTGAGCAAATCTAACAATAACCACAGTAAGGATCAGTTCGAAATATACCGTGTAGCATCTTCAACTGTTGCTTTTATTCAATTTTTTCCCAAATCTCCTCACTCACTTACACGTTCTGCAATCAATCAATCCTTTTTAAATAAATTTTTGCTATTTGCTATATTTTCAACAGGTTCTTGTTAACAGCATTTAATAATCTTAACTACCTATGCTATAAACTGTTCATGTAACGATAACTCATCTTCCTATAATCCGGCTACATTCTTTGGTGATATATTTCCTACTACAGATAAATTGTTTTAGTTTTTAAAACTGAAAACAACGTTCAAATAATATTTGATAAACATATTGTTAACTAATTATCAGAGAGGGTAGGTAACTATTTTCTAACGTGTGGTGATTACCCGATAGTTTCTGTTGATTCGATTAAGAAAATCTCTTCAAGAATACCTACCCACCTCCGCTTAGTTTCGGTTTCGAAATACCACCCAATCTGTGCAAAATTTCTAGTCCTCTGTTATGCTAATCAGCTGAAATTTATATTTTTCCTCCATTAGATACTAACAAAATTTGTTTTTTTTTTAGAAGAAAAAGTTCTAATTTGTCGAACTCCAAATGGTGAAGCAGGCGAATGTGTATCCATTTACAAATGCGATGCGTTTCTCAAATTAATAAATGGCGAACCTAAAAAACTGACCGCAGAAGTTAAACAATTCCTTCGAGCTTCAGAATGTAAAAAAAGAAAAAAGAATGAGTCGCCAATGGTCTGCTGTGGAAAAGATACAACTTTCAAAAAAAACTGACTTGTTAATTGATTTTAATTAAATTTATTGGAATTGGATTTTGTATTATTTTGTTTTTTTTTAAGGAAATATATTCATTGAAAAATTTGATGGTTTTACTGGTTTGGCAAGACCATAACAAAATTGCAAATGCATACTTCAACCAAAACAACAGAAAATTATCATGAATGGTTTATTGATTACAAAAGCCTTGGAAAAACCTGATTACGAATAACTGACTGACCATTGAGTTTGTATATGTAGGCCAGTTAAACATTTATTAACTAGCAAACGTCATGAGATCTAGTTAAATTAGAACTCTTGTTTCAGAAGCTCGTTATCTGCAAATTATGTCTTTTGAGGTCAATAATAAAAATGCCTTTGTTGTCGCTAATACACTTTATTTCGTGGTTCGGCGTTTAAGGTTATTTTTAAAATTACATTTAACAACTATGGAAGTAATAGTAATATTGTGAGTTTCCTTGTTGTGCTGTAATGTGGTGGTTGCTGGTTGTGATTTTCTTTTTCATTGATAATAATGACAGTTTGGCTAGTAAGTTTTTGATAATTTCTTAATAGCTATGTCTATGAGTTTCTTTTGCGCTTAAGAACTCTTCACATTATTTCTCGCGAAAAGTTGAAATTATATTTTTAAAGTAAATTACAATAAACATTTAGATAATAGCTTTGTTTTGGTTCGAAAAAGGACGGTTCTAGAACGTTTCAAAACAATCGCACAGTTTATTATTGAAATTTGTAATAGCCGAGCCGTTACCATTTTGTTGATTGATGAACTGTGTGATTGTTTTGAACCGTTCTAGAAGCGTCCTTCTGTCGAACCAAAACAAAGCTAATGTTATCATTAAAACATGAGAACAGATAATTTGTTTGGTGTTTTAAAATTAGAACCGACATTAGAAATTGTAAATTTTGCATGTTATCTTTTTAAATAATAAATAATTATCGATTTATAACGTTTTACGTCTTCCGATTCCCGATTTCCAACCATCTCTGTCAATCCAGGCATCCTCTTCCAAGCCTCTGTCTCTCATTTCTTCATCTACTCCACTTCTCCAGCTTCTTCTTGGCTGCCGCGTCTTCTCTTTCCCCTGGCTTCCACTCGATAATTTGCTTGGGTATTCTTATATCTGCCATTCTTTGTACATGTCCGAACCAAATCAGCTTTTTGTCCTTTATGTCATCTGCTATTGTGTGTTTTACGTCCACAATCTCCCTTATTCTCAGATTTGTTATCCTTTCCATTTTTGACCTGCCTGCCGATCTCCTCCAATAGTCCATTTCAGTTGCTTCCAGCATTTTTGCGGCGCTGTTCTATAGTGGCCAGACTTCTGAGCTATATGTGATTATGCTTTTGACTATGGTGTTGTATATTCTAGTTTTGTTAGTTTTTTTGGTCCCACAGTACACCATTTAGTAGGGATATTGCCTTGCGTCCTTGTATATCCCGATCTTTAATTGCTTCGTCTAGGGTTCCCTCATGTGAGATTTTCATGCCCAAATATTTGTATTTAGTACATTCTTTTATTTCTTGTCCGTTATTCATTTTCAGAGTTCGTTGTTCACCTCCTAAAGTCATATATTCTGCTTTAGTTAGATTTACTTCCAAGCCTCATTTCTTGTATTTCTCTATCAATTTTCGTGTCATGTACTCTAGGTCATCATATTCCTGTGCAATTACTACTTGATCATCTGCAAAGCTTAAAGTATATAGATTGTATTCATTGAGCGGTATTCCCATGTGTCTGCATTTTTTTTTCCACCCCTGAAGCGCTTGTTCTAAGTATATTTTAAAAAGTGTTGCGTGATATGCAGCATCCCTGTTTAAGTCCTTTAGTTGCTATGAAGCCTTTACTGATTATTTTTCCCTGTTTAATCTTGGTCTTTGCATCAGTATAGAGCGTTTTTTACTGCCTTTATTAGTTCTAAGTTGATATTGGTCTTTTCCAGTGCTTCCCAAAGCTTTTTCAGCGGAACATTGTCATGTGCTTTTTTTAGATCCACAAAGAGTGAATGGAGTTCTTGGTTATACGCTAATTTCTTTTCCATTACCTAGGTCAAACTAAATAAATGGTCTACAGTTGATCTTCCTGCTCTAAAACCTACCTGTTCTTCTGCCTCACTATCTTTGTACTCGTTCTCTATTCTGGCTTTTAGAAGTTTTTGCATACACTCTGCTCAACGTATTTGTTACTGCAATTCCTCGGTGGTTCTCGCATTTGTTTCTGTCTCCTTTCTTAAATATCGTTGTTAAATAGCTTATTTTCCACTCGTCCAGTACTTAATGTTTATCAATGCATGTTTGAAATAGTTTTGTTAAATGCTTGTAGAGTTTATTGGTCCCATACTTTATCAGGTCTCCATATATTTCTCCTGGGCCTGGTGCCCTACCGTTTTTCAAGAAGCTACATTGTTTTCTAACTTCTTGCATAACTCTTATTGGTGATCCTGCAGTTTTTATATTTCGTGTCTATTCCTTTTCTTCCTTTTATCTGCTATTTTTTTCTCTATTTCTTGATCCCACCAATAAGGTGAGGGCCTTCTTCCATTTTTTTCGTACTTGCCTAGGGCTTCAAATGCTGCACTGTGAATACTCTCTTTGATATGATGGTAATGCATTTCAAGGTTTTGGAAGTTCATACGATTCTGTAATTTTTTATTCAATCTCCTCATGTACAACCCCTTTACGCTTTGCTCTTCTAGAGATTTTAGGTTATATTTCTCAGGCACAATATTGTCTTCTTGTTTTTCATTCCGTTTTCTTTTGCGCTGTTTCTGCCCGGGATAAAGATTTTTGTTTTCAGGAGGTAGTGATCGCTACCAAATGTCGCTCCCCTATATGCTCTTACATCCTGGAATTTTATGTTCGAACTCTGTTTTGCGATAGTGTAGTCAATAATCGATTTTTGTTGTATAGTTTCATTTTTCCACGTGTACCTATGTATTTCTTTATGCTGAAAATGTTATCTTTTTATATTGATTCATTTAACATGTGATTAAAGAGTCACGTGACGACAGCAAAATAAATCAAAGGACACTTCTTTTGGGATTTTGGGATTCGGTCAATTTTTCTGAAAATTTGATATGATGCTCTCAACATTCAGATTAAAAGAGTTCATAGCCACAACTTGATCCTATGACTAGTTATCGAGATGCAGGTAGTTTAATGTCCAAGAAATGCACACATTTTATATGCATTTACATTTATCTGTCACCTAATACTATACCAGGATTAACAGGAATCCCCACGCTCAGGTGACAGGTAGATGTAGATGCATACAAAATGTGTGCATTTCTTGGGACAATAAACTACCTGTATCTTGGAAACTAGTCATGGGATCAACTTGTGGCTATGAACACTTTTAATCGGGATGTTGAGAGGAGCATCATATCAAATTTTCAGGAAAATTGACCGAATCCCAAAATCTCATACGAGGTGTGCTTTGGATATAGGTCAAATTTCCTGTCACATAACCAAAATGGTGAATGGTGCGTCATCTGAAGTCTATATTCCGTAGACTATCGGAAAGACAACCTGCAGAAAAAACTTCAAAATGAAATGTCTAAAATGAAACATTACGGATACAAAATAAGAAAGCTTGTCATTAAACCAACTAATTAACCGGCTTTGGCCAAACAAAAATCACCTCTGCTCAAAACTTGTTTTATTTTCACATTGAAAACGTTGCCTTTAATAGAAAAATTATTGGCGAATTCCCTGATAGATTATAATTAGGTCATGATAAGGTTCAAGAAGTTATGGTTTAAAATAGCTACTTTTTTTTTTTTCTTCTAAGCAGACTCAAAATACTTGTGCGTAGACCTAAAATACTTCTGCGTCTCACATCTAATAGAACATTTTTTTTAGAATATTGTTTTTATTGCTTTTTTGTTTTAGTTCAAGAACGGCCATGCTTAACACCAAACCAAACCAAAGGATACTGTGTTCTATCACAAAATTGTCCACATATCGAACAAAAACTACAAATTGGAGCCGTTACACCACCAGATAAACAATTTATTACTCTATCAATATGCGGTTATGATGCAAATAAGAAAATATTATTTTGCTGTGATATTAATGAAGTCAAAATACCTGAAGCGGAACGTAGTGCGCCTGCACCAAATGTCAAAAAAAATGTTGTTCAAACAGAAACCAAAAATACTGAAAAACCACTTCTAAGTGAGTCAAACTTTAGTGTTTAGGTATAGTATATTATTCACCTTACCTTTACTGTTTCCATGAAAATCTAGACTTTTCCAATGACACTCTTGTATTACCTCCTCAAATAGTCTGGGAGAGGACCGCGTTTTTTCTACCCCGATCGAGTTATGTGTCGACACTATTATCAATATATCGTATTATGTGTATCTATTAACCGATATTCCTGCCTGAGAGCAAATGCTGCCGGAAATATCTTTTAACAAATTATTAACAAATTGAAAAAAAACGTAACACTACCCCCATCGAGTTATGCCCTAAGTAGGGTATCAGATTAAAGGTCTCGATGTCCTCTATCTGAAAAGTCGATCCTGCCTGCCAGGGCAGCTTATTAGGGCAAGGGCCCGCGGTCTCAGCTTCGACAACTATCAAGTTTTGCCCTGAATGGCCGCGTTCACCAGATACAAACGTTGGTAAACGCTTTGCGATTGTTCTGCTGAACGCTACGTTGAATTTGTGTTGACATCAAACATGTTTTGCAAACGGTCGCCATTTTTGCAAGCATAATTTAAGAGTGTTTATAATTTTCAACACTTTTTGTTTTGTGTGGTGACATGACATTCAGAGGGTGACGTTATATCATTGAAAAGTTGAATCGTTCAACAGAACCAAGAGTTTACCCAACGTATTCTGTTGGTATTTGTAAACTCTTTACAATCCGTTTTGGTTCTCGTGAACGTAGCCAATGATGTGTCAAATTAAAGATGTCAATAAGTTGATTTAAGGTCTCTTCACACAGAAATCCCAAACCAGTCAGAGCAAATTTCATTGGTTGGAAACTATCAGGAAACTAGTTTCAACCAATGAAATTTACTCCTTCTGGTTTGGGATTTTTGTGCGAAGAGACCTTAAATCAACTTATTAACACAACTTAATTTGACGCATCATTCAGGGCAAAACTTGATAGGTGTTAAAGCTGAGACCGCGGGCCCTTGCCCCAGTAAGCTGCCCTGCCACCTTTTTCCGGCAAGTTCTCACGAGGCAGGATCGACTTTTTAGATAGAGGACATCGAGACCCTGATACCCTACTTAAGGCATAACTCGTGGGGGTAGTGTTATATTTTTTCCAATTTGTTATTAATTTGCTAAAATATATTTCCGGCAGCATTTGCTCTCAGGCAGGAATACTGGTTAATAGATGCACATAATACTATATATTGATAATAGTGTCGACACATAACTCGATCGGGGTAGGAAAAATGCGGTTGTCTCCCTAACTAAAAATAATATGTACTTTTATTGTTAGAGGATTTGTCGCAGCCACAATATTGCCAAACACCCAATGGAGAACGGGCTCATTGTGTCTCCATATACAATTGTCCAATTTTTTTAAATAGGATTTTGAATATGAACGTTTCAAGTCTTAATGAAAACGAAATAAGATTTTTGAAAGAATCAAAATGTGGTGATAAGGACAACAACTATATAGTGTGCTGTGGAAATGATTTAACCTTTAAATCGAGTGAAGTCCAGGAAAATTTCGTTTATAATGAGTTGATACCAAAAAGTGAATGTGGACTTGAGGTAAGCCAGAAGCTTATTTGGTTTAGCGAAATAAAACCATGGTTTTAGGCTCCTTTATATGAAGAAGAACCTATGCCAGCATCAATACAATCCAGAAATGGACCAATCAACTTGGTAAGTTAAACTTCTATATTAAAAAAGTTTAGTTAATCTCACGCTTTTTAGAATTTTACCTTGCCAAATAGAATATTCGGTGGTGAAGAAGCCGCACTAGGTGAATTCCCTTGGCTCGCCTTATTAGCCTACGAAGATGTTGGTAAAAAAAGGAGAACATTTCGTTGTGGAGGATCACTCATATCATCCAAATATGTCATAACTGCAGCTCATTGTATATTTGGACGTCAGGCAGAAATTATGTAGGACTCAATTTGTGCCATCTTCCATCAATCTGAAATATCATTTGTAGTGTTAGTATTCGTCTAGGCGAGCAAGACTTTAAAAGGCAAGGCAAAAATTGTATCACAACAAACAAAGGTCAAACTTGCATGGATGCACCGGTTGACGTTGAAATTGATTCATTACATCCACATCCAGAATACAGGAAGGAAGTAAAGGAAAAATATAATGACGTTGGACTTATACGACTCAGGAACAATGTTCCATTTACAAGTAAGAAATGTATGAGAGTATGGTGAAAATTCTCCAGTGAAAGTGGAAAATTTATCAACTGTTAGCTTGGATAGCATTAATATGAAATATGCTATCCGTACCCAATATTCTGCACGTCAAAAACTCATGACTACCATAATGAATATAAAGCTGGCATCAATTGAGCGAATCTGGAAGTACTGAACTTACGTTTGAGATATATTTTCATTTTTTAGAAAAATTTCAGTTTCGATCGAACTGCCTGAAAAGCCTTATTCTCCTGAGCATTGAGCACTTACAAAGCTTGAAAGTATTTCTACCATAACTTAATGTTTTTCATCTATTAAAGTTGAAAATCAAATATAAGAAATCAACAAATTATTTCTAACGACCTTTGAGTACGCATGCTCTGGATTTTTTTTGGGCTATTTTCTGCATAAAATCAAATAGTTTTTCAGAGGGTTTCGAGCGGAAAATCCTACTCACCCCATTAATGATATCGTCGGATGGAACCTCAGGATGGAACATTTTAAGTCTATAACAATTGTCATTTCTCAAGGTAGGCAACAGTCCAAATGCAACTATATGTTGCCCTTTCACATAAGGTCAAACGATATAGAGGTGATTTTTTTAATGTGGTAATGTATCTTTAAACTGGCTACTTCCAAGGATAAGGTCAGCACTGTATCATAATTAGAAGGTAGGAGCGTAGTTGATGAATGGCAGATCTTCGACATTTTATAATTTGCATCTGATGTTATCTTCTCCATGAAACATTTTGACCATTTTCCATACAACCAAACAATGTTAGATGGTATTGGAAAAATATCTTCTAGTAAAAGGATGGACGTCTTGAACTCGATTATTCCGCAAACCGTTATTTTGCGCTTGAGCTTCCAGAGAAATAAATTTAAATTTTCACACGAAATACCTAGAAAGTAGGCGCTGGCGCTGAATTGTGCTGTTCCGATCTGAACCTATAAATGTGTGTATGAGACATTCCACATCGCTCCAAAGTTTTTACTATTATTAAAATCCGCAGTATCAAATTGCATATTAGCGTTATCTTCGACTGGAATTTCCGGAAGAAGAATGGCATTACTGTTAAAGTCGAGTTGTTTCTTTGTAGGGAAATGAAAATCGAGGGGCTGAGAGAAAAACAAAGAGCTTTTTTGAGCCAAATTTTTTGACCACATAGGCATCTACACATGAAGTGTTGAAATGTCCATCACTCTCTTATAAACATCTGATATTTTACGTTGAATCACAGAAATCCCATTTTCAAGTGATTTGATGAACTGTAATTTTCCAACGAGAGAACAGTTATACTTTTGATCAAATGATATTATTTAATTAACAACAAGTTCCAGAATACCCACAAGATAGATTTCTTTCCATTTCAGAATACATAAGACCAATATGTTTACCAAATATTATCGAATACCCAACTCCAGGACACAGGCTCGTAATATCAGGCTGGGGATTGAAGAATTTTGATGAACAAACTTCGATTAAACAAAAAGTGGAGGTTCCCGTTGTTTCTACTTCGCAATGTTCAATAATGTTCGAGAAAAGCAGAGACTTAAACAAATTAGGGAACGGACAATTTTGTGCTGGCGGAGAGGCAGGAAAAGATGCTTGCGTTGGTAGGATTTTTTTGAAATTTTAACCTTGCTTTTGATTCTAAATATTTTTCTTTTAGGCGATAGTGGAGCTCCTCTAATGCGCAGATCAACTAAAAACTTGTATGTTATCGATAGTAACCCTAGGTGGTTCTTAGAAGGACTCGTGTCATTTGGTAGGGGCTGTGGAGTAAAAGATCAATACGGAGTTTATACAAAAGTATTAAAATATATTCCGTGGATTCATCGAACGATAGTGCTATAATAAAAAATATTAATTTAAAGATTTTTTTTTAATTTACTCTATTCTCATTGACCTTAAAATCAAAACAGTCGCAATTTATAGCGCGCATGGTCGGAGAAATAATTTTCTTTAGGGCGAAATTGGGGTGCAACACAATCCGCATCCCCTGTCATCTTCCCCGCGCCCCTCTGCACTCACTGGTTCAAGTTCAAGGTCAGTACGTACGTTTTATTGATTAATAGGGTGGCTTAAACTTGGTTGGGGTAACGGTAACGATTTAATACAGGGTGATATAATTGAACATTTTCATTTAACGTTTTTGTTTCACTTCATCGTAATCACATTCGGAAATAAATATATAAATCAATTTTACTTCCTTACATATTTCGAAACCGTTCATAAAGCTCACCATGGAAAATCGTCTAGCATTCCTGGACTTGATGACGACCCAAAACAATGGAAAAATAAATACATGTGTCTACAGAAACCCAGCTTATACCTACTGGTCCATATCCAACCTTTCAACTCACTACTAGAGATCTTTTTTGTGTACACTTTCCTATCTCAGACCTAAAGATTCTGTTGGTGTCTTCAAACCAACGAAAATTTGTTCTTGGTTTAACATTAGACGCCAAATATCTCAAAAAACTGTACACTTCAGACTTCATGGACCTATAGGTAAATTTATACAAAAATTGTTTAAAATTGTTCGTATTATACGAATTTTCATTTAAAAAAAATGGGGTATGATTAAAATTATTGCAGTAACATAACCTCGAAAGTGGATCGACGAAAAACTTTCGATTGAACCGGAAGTACTTCTAAAAAGTGTAAAATATCGTATGAGTTTGAATCTACACTCAATTATTGTTCTTTTTCTAGACCGGCAGGATTATGCATAAAATATGCATAGAATTTCTTGTACAATACAAATGTAATAGAGTAAAAATCAAACGAGAAGAAGCCAAACGCGTTATCGTTTGTCTCACTTTAAATGGAACGGACCCAGAGAAAAGGAGATCCGTCTTCTTTGTGTCAGCGCTGACGTCAATGGCTTCTTCTCGTTTGATTTTTACTCTAATATAGGGCATCATCTATTTGAAATAAAGAAGTTTATGGAGCTTTCGGTCAAACCGGAAGCGACCGACAGTCAATTGCTTTTAGGCTGAACTTTGCATCGATATCAATAATATATGTAAAGTTTGTTTCACCAGGGTTTGTACTTGCCACCAGCATTTGCCTTCCTTGTTTGTCAAATCAAAATTGACTGAAAAAAATCAATGATGTCAAAAACGTTCGTTGGTTCTTAAACCAGAAGTCATTCATTTTAATTTGTCAAAAAATTGAATGTGTCATATGAATTAATTTACGACAACCCTTTTTTTTCAAGTTTCAAGGTCAAGTATGAACCCTGGTGAAACGAACTTTAGGTACATCCCCAAAATTTAAAATCGATATCGATTTCCACGTCTAAGATAGGGCTTGCTAAATGGTAAGTAATCTCATTGTCACCCATAGAAGCTTTTGAGAAATTTCAATATTCAGATCTTTCCAACGCTTTGGAGCCAGTTACAAAGTCATTAAGTGGCTTATTTAACTTGAGTATATATTGATTTTTTGTATTTTTTCAGACCTTGAGGTGGCTCTATGAACACAGGAATATCCAGAATTCCATTGAGAAATATAGAACTTATACCTATCTACCTGTCAAATTTCTTGCCACCACCACATAGGCGCATTCGTCTAAAGATTGGACTACAAGCCTTGCCTTCCTCACTTACAATTTGCGGCACGTACGCTCACTCTGAGTCTATAATTTCTGATACTTCTGGTGCTCATTTTACCAATACGCATATATCGATTTTTTTTATTGAGTTTAGGTCTTTTTTGGATCATATTTTCTAACCACCCAGCCTCTGGCAGCATTGTCTCTTCGTCTGTTCTACTCCTTTCTGCAGTACCTCTTCTTGGTCTCGTGTCTGCGTCGCTGTTTTTCTAAAGTTTGTGTTCCGTAGTGGACTACTTGACGCCATGGAGGGCCTATCATTTGCCGTCGTCTCCCAGTTGCTGGTATCCATGCGGCATTTTGCCATATATTCCTTAAGAACATCTTTGTAGCGTTTTGCTGACCTCGCTCTTTCAGTTGACTGTAGAGAATCTGTCGTAGAAGATGTGTTTCGGGTATGCGGATAAGGTGACCTGTCAGGCGGAGTTAATGTTTAATGATGAGGGTGCTACGGGATTATTTTTTCCCTTCAAGTAAAAGTACTCCCGTCTAGAAATTTATTACTAATAAGTTATCATTTCACCTATACAGTTTCCTTTTCGCTATTTTTCAGTACCATCTAACAATAATTGTGATTATTTATTTAAACATTTCATATTATATATTATTACAGATTCCTACACTTGCTTTATAGTACCGATGGTTCTATTACAGATTTCCGTACTACTTCCCTTTGTACCATTACAGTTTCCTATATTTGGTAGCAGTACCAGTGTCCCCCAATAGACTGTAGAAATTCCTCAAGGTTTTTTTCTGGAAGGTAAAGGATTAAAATTCGTTTTTTTTTTATAGAAAAGAGGGCAGCTTTCAAGAGCACGTTGAGAGTTTCCTCTAAGCATTTTTGCTGATCTAAAACCAAAAATAAGTTAGAGCCCTAACTCCCAATTGTGAGTTGCTAAGATTAAAGCATCACAGTGCCACTATAGGCAGATTTGGTTGTGAGTTTTAAAGGGTTAAAGTCTCAAATTTAGGCGTTTTTCTTCGTGTGCTGTGTCTGTAAAAGGCCAAAGTATTTTGGTAAGTTTTCATTTTATGCCATTCTTCTTTTGGATAAGTTCTACAATGTTAAAGTTCTTTTCGAATACTTCTTTACTATATTTGCTATTTGCTTACCATGTGCGAAAATCTTGTTCTCTTTTTTTTTAGGCCTTTTTCCTTTAGTCTCTCTCGACTTTCATTCATCCCCTTATTGGAGGCCTTGTTTTCCTCTGATACACGAGTGCCGGTTGCCCATCAACCCCCAGTACTTCAGAGGTACCTACTGAACCACTCGAGTCGACCTTACTGCCCCCACTACTTGCTAAAACATCCCTAACCACCAAGAAGATTTGGGGAGGACCCTCAAACCCTACTCCACGTCAGGTAGATTCCGGGGTCGCTGTAAGATTTGCACACAGCAAATCATCAAGGAACTCCCTGTAAGTCAGTTGGGTCACATGTGTGTGTTGTCCTGACTCCTGAAATCATTTGGTTACGCTCCAGCTGATTGGTAGTGAAGCTCTGGGGTCAAAATAATTTTTAATTATAGGAGTTATTACCTTATTATTTATTCTTGTATGTTCTTATTATAAGTTTTAGGCTTAACCTAAAATAGAAAAGGTATTGTAAACCGGGAAAATAGGCCTATTTCGAGGGTATGCAACGTTTTTGATTGTGTATTGAATTTATTTTAAATCTAAGGTTATTTTTAATACTGAACATATTTGGGGTATGGATAATTATGCCAAAATACCATTTTTTTTACTAAACTAATAAACATCATTGTTAAATCCTGAACGAAGCGAATCAAGCAAGCAAGATAAACAAAACCAGACAATTTAATTTTCTTTTATTTTCCCTTTACAGCTGATTTTTGACATTTAGAATTTTCAATTCTTTTCAGATTGCCGTGCGATCACGAGATTGTCCAATCCTAGGAGATTTCAGTTAAAGGTGATCGCCTTTAAACCATTCCTTTCTTTGGTGTTGATTTGATTCTTCGTATGCTATAGGCTGTTTCCTGTTTTGAAATTTCTTTCGTTCAGAAACCGACTTACTGCAGGGTGGAAAACAGGTGGCGCCTTTATTTAGACCCACCCCACTCACCGGAATTTTGTGGGCTAGTCGGAGCATCCCTATAAGTCGGATTTCTTCTATAGGCCAAAGTCCTATCCATCCCTTCACTCTTTTCTCTCTTAACTACCACATGTAGTTAAAGACACGTAAAAAGGGCTTCTATGCTAGTAGTTTTGGCGTTCTCTAAAACAATAATGTTCATTCGTCGGTCTTGCCATTTAATCCGTAGGATCCTTCTGAGGCATTGCTGGTGGTATTTTTCAAGACGTTTTATGTGTCTTCTGTAGGTGGTCAATGTTTCGCAGCCATATATAAGTGCTGGAATTACAACTACATTGTAGATGCGAAATTTGGTCTCGCGCTGATGTCGTGGTTGTTGAAGACTCTGTCTAGAAGTAGCCCCATTGCTGTGCTAGCACACTTCAAGCGATGTCGAATTTCAACGTCAATGGTTGCATTTGCTGCCAAATGGCTCCCAAGGAATATATAGTGTTCTACGTTCTGTAATGAATGGTAATTTATAGTTATATTTAGGGATTAGTGTCCGGTGCGGATGGTGCAGAATATGCGTCTTGTTAAAATTGACTTCTAGGCCGATTCTCCTGTATATCTAGTTGAATGCATTGATAATTGCCTGAGGATCTTTCTCTGTATTAACCATCACGACGCTATCATACGCATATTGAAGTCCAATTATCCATTTCGCCGATAGTTTCCTCTTGGCACGTAATCTGTTTAGGTTGAATAAGCCGCTGTCAAGTCTGTACAGGATTTTCACTACTACGGCAAGTGACCCTCGACAAAGTGAAATATGGATCATGGATCCTATAAATAGAAAAAGTGGAGTGGGTGCGATAACACAACCCATTTTAACGACTGGAGTGCGTTTAGAAATGGAGAGTGAAGGTAGAGTAGTTGTTTGTCAGAGTGTTCTAACGTCATCACTTAGGCTGGCTTCTCATGAGCGTAAACTTGACATAACTGGCGCAAATGCTGAATACGTGAATTTTGGCGCAACATTCACATGGAGTGGAGAATTTACGCCGCCGGGTATGTCAAAATTTTATTTTTTTCCTAAATTTTGAAATATTTCTTTGAATTTTGATTGTACAAATTTGTATTTGTTTTTGCTTTAGTTCCAAATAGTTACAAATATGGACAGTTAATCACAAAAATCAAGAAAACGAAACGGTTGCAACCT